AATTGGCAATTAACAAAGTGACAAACGAGATACTTGGAGAATATAAAGGATGTTTGCCACCAATAAAGGACACATCTTGGTGGAATGAGGTGAAACAAGTCATAAGGAACAAAACGAAATGCTACAAAAAGTTAAAAAAAAGTTGGAGTGATGAGAAGATAGAGGAGGAATACAACAAGGGGGCTAGAAGACAAGCAAAGAAAGCCGTTATAGAAGCACCAAGGAAAGTGAACAAGGAGTTGTATTAAAGTTAGACTCTAAGGAAGGAGAAAAATATATTTATAGACTTGCTCGTCTTCGTGATCATAGTACTCAAGATATCGGAAAAGTTAAGTGTTTGAAGGATGTCGATTTGAGGGTACTAATGGAGGACGGAGAAATAAAAGAGAGGTGGAGGTCATACTACGATACCTTGTTTAACGGGAATAAAGTGCAAGATATTGGTGATCTAACTAGACTAAATTGTATGGCAAACCGGGATACTGTAAGAATGGGTCCAATGACAGAAGCTAAAGAGGCTATAAGAAAGATGGGGCGGTAGAAAGCAGTGGGTCCAAATGGCATACCGATCGAGGCCTGGAAAAGTTTGGAAAAGAGAGGCGTAGAGTGGTTAAAACGTTTCACAAGATTTGGAGAAACTACAAAATGTTAGTGAGTTAGCGGAAGAGTACTCTTATTCCCCTATTTAAGAATAAGGACGATGTACAAGAATGTGCCAACTATCGAGGGATTAAGCTTATGAGTCACACCATGAAACTTTGGGAGCGAATGATTTAGAAAAAACTCTGAAGAAGTGTGAAGATTTGAGAGAATCAATTCGGGTTTATCCCTGATCACACAACAACTGAGGTCATTCACCTTCTTAGACAACTTGTGAAGAAGTATAAAGACACTAACAAGGATCTGCATTTGGATTTCATTGACTTGAAAAAGCATACGATAGGGTACCTTGAAATGTCTTTTGGCGGGCTTTAACTAGAAAAGGCATATCACATAAGTACATCAGCATCATCATGGGTATGTATGCAGATCGTACTATAAGTGCTTGTGGTAGTGCAGGGAGGACTGTAGAGTTCTCTACTACTATCGGAATGCACCAAAGATCGGCTTTGAGTCCTTCCTTATATGTTATAGTCATCGATGAAACTATGAAGTCAATTCAAGACGATATAACATGGTGCATGATATTTGTCGACGATAATGTATTGATTGATGAGACACAATCAAATGGGAGAACAAGGATTCCGGACTGAGTTGAAGCAAGACCAAGTATAGGCAGTGCAAATTTGGTGGAGGTAGAAGCAATGATAACAGTGGGATTACTCTAGATAGTAAGGAGATACTGGTCAGTATATGTTTCATTACTTGGGCTTTATAGTTCAGAATGACGGTGAACAATATGGAGATGTATCTAATAGAATCAGAACATGATGGATGGCATGGAAGAGTGCGTCAGGATTTCTATGTGATCGCGGTATGCCGAATAAACTGAATGGTAAATTTTATCGAACGAGAATTATGTCTGCATTACTGTATGACAAAGAGTGTTGAGCAGTGAAACAATGTCACATTCAAAAAATGAGTGTGGCAAAGATGGTGCGTGTGTGGACATACTAGAAACCGCTTGAGAAATGAGACAATCAGATAAAAGGTGGGAGTAGCAGTAGCACCTATTGAAGATAAGATGTGGGAGTCTTAATTGCGGTGGTTTGATCATGTGCGTAGAATAACGAGTGATGCACCTGTTAGCATACTTGTCACGGCGGTAAGGCGAGTCGCGACGCTAGCCGACCGCCATATCGCCTAGGCGACAAGGCACCCGCCTAGGCAACAAATAGGCGACTTGTCGCACAATATACATAATTATATTTTATACATAACAATACAACATTCTATTTAATTTGTAGTTTAATTACATATTATATATGATATATTAAGAATGCAATTGTATATTGCCTAATAATTTATTAATATATTAGTATACCTAATTGATTAATATGCAAATTATTAATTTAAATATTAATATACCCAATTTATTAATTTATTATATATCTAATTTATTAATATACAAGTTATATTCATTGCTAATATATACTGTAGTATGTATCTATGCATGTTGTATAGTGTGTACGAAAATATACATATATTATATTAAAATTAAACTATGTAAAACTGTAGTGTATATACTACTGAGTGGGTACGAAGTATTAATATTAATGTTTAATATCAATATATAATAGAATAAGAAGTCTGATAAAGACTAACGTGATAAGATGAATGACCGATAAAAATAAAAGGCTGGGAAGAGCACATGTCGTCTTCAACCTTGTGACGCAGGAACACATCAACTACAGATCGCCTACAGACGACCTTGCTACAGAGGCACAAATCAGAAAAGTAACGACTAGCGATGCTCCGCCTTTAGGAATCATCGATTGAGCTTCGAGGTTGAGAGTCGACGATTGTTCTTTTAGGCTGGGCTTCAAAAAACGAATTTATTGAGATTTCAAATCTCCCCTAGCGTGACGCCAAGACTGCGCCTGGACGACATATTCAAGCCTGGACGACGCCAGAGGCGACTAGCCTTCTTCCGGCGAGTCGATCTCCCTTGTCGACCCTTCTCCATCGCCAGGACGCCTAGTCGGCGACTAGGCGACGCCTAGGCGATGCCGTGACAAGCATGCCTGTTAGGGAGAGGAGAATTCTTTTTTTGTTATTTTTTTTATCATAATCTTTTTATCTTTCTTTTCCTTTTAGCTCCGATATCATCTACATAAGAGGTGTATATGCACCCAATTCTTTCAATTTAATTTTACATGCTATCAACTAACAAAGAACATCTAACTTTACCATAATGACCAAGCATATTTTATTAGCAGCTAATGCTATGAGCGGTAGAAGCAGCTACCTGCTAATACTATCATCGGGTTAAAAGGGTTAGATACTTAGTTGTCAGCCTTATTTCCAACAAGGCCATAGTCTGTGAGAACAAGTTCTAGATTGGGTGCTGGCGCAAGTATGTTTCTTCCACGTCTCGCCATCATGGTTGTCACGGTGGAAAGGAGAAGCACGGTGCCAGCTGTCTGCCTTATCACTTTGGCAAATAGGCGCCTGCCTCAGCAACAACTAGGTGACATGTCGCGCCATATATAATATTCAAATATCAAATATGGTGAAATATATATTAATACGTATAAATTATATTATGCATTACTTATAATTCAAACCAGAGTAAAATAATTCAAAACAACAGTTTAATATCCATCTCAATAAGTATAAGAACATTGAACTACAAATTTTAAATATCATCCGGAACTAAATCTGACAATTTAAATTTTTATGTAATATAAGTATTCAATATTAACGAACTAATAAAAAAATCAGCTGTTAAAATAGAAAATGACCGGCAACCAAAAAGGACAAACAAAAAGAGAAAAGGAACGGCTTGTCAAAAAGAAAGAACAATCAGGGACAGTGCCAAGAACAGAGTCCAGATCCACAAATACTAAAGAACAAGTGGTGGTAGAAAACGCCAAAGAAAGGATCTGCGACAGCGACAAGCAAAGGCGACGTGTGTGCCTAGGTCGGCGACGTGCGTGGCTGCGTCGGCGACCTGCAACGGCGATTTCAGGCGAGTGAACAGAGTATGGTGTGGCTACTCCATCGCCAGGATGCCTAGTCGCTGCCTAGGCGACACCGTGAAAACCATGCTCATCATGGATCAACCATAAAGCACAGCTCTTGAATAAGGAAACTAAGTCCTCGGCTCAATTCCCCCAAATTTAGGTTTTATGAATAAAATACTTACGAATTCAATTTTTTCATTGTTTATTACTAACATTTGATGAATGGTGTTATTTAACTATTGCAGTGTCGCATAGGATGGTATTTTGATTTCATCACAGGTCACTTCTTCAAATCAAATGTTACTTTTAATTTTATTTCCTACTATGTATGCCCCTAACTCAACGAGACAACACAACGGTTTTTGCTTAAGGAAATATTAATACTATTTTGGGGTGAACCTAAAAGAGAGGTAAGAATATTATAAGGGGATGGATGAAAGAAAATTATTTTACATAAGTCCTTGACCAAGATATCTATTAATCCCCTTGTCCCGTTTTATTTGTGCAACTTTATATGGTAGTTCATCCCAAAATTATGTGGACTTTCTAATTCCACACCACTAACATTTTCCCAATTAACCTTTTCGCACTCATTATTTTTAAAAATGAATTTACACTATTGGACACACTTTCATACTCAAATGAAAATTTTGAGAACCCCATTACATTTTACATTTCTCCATTAAAATTGTACAAAATGAAGATAGCCATATAATGTGGGATGGAGGATGTATAAGATATGAATGTGGATATATAAATGGATACAAGGATAGAAGAGTTAATTCATTCTTACAAAGTTACAATGGTGGTAGGCTTAAAAAAACACTACTACCCGCAGAAGTCATTCTCTCTACGATCTATGGTGGCACTATCCATGGTTCCATTGTCGGCTTCTCTTTTCCCTATAGGACCCTTAACACACTAGGCAAGCACGGCCTGCACATTTCAGTCTTCACCGTCCTTTTTCATTTTTTCAGACCCAGACATGAAATGCAAAACACAAAAATGACCTTGCTTTCATTCTAAACAAACAGACGCAAAGCCTATAGCCTTTTTCCTTTATTAAACCCGTAACAACATATAACTACACACCACAGATCAAAATTATAAGAACAAGAATTTCTAGTTCCTAATGCGCGTGAAAGAAGAGCAGAAACTACCAATATTCATCGACAGTAAGAGATTACAACTCGATGAACTGTTTAATATCTTACGTTCCATTAAGGGGATATTCCCTAGCAGTTCAAGAACAGAAGGGGGATGAGTACACATATAACAAAAATATATGTACATAGAAAACAAGCAATTAAGAGTACTTTGCCAGATTGATTGAAATACACATCGATTTGAAGGAGGGTGGGAGAGAAGGCTTACGCTATGATTAAATTAAGCTCCTGCGGACCAGTAAAGTTGCCGACGCAGGAATGGGTTACGTTGGTAGGCTTATGAGCCGTCACTACATAGTTCCATACACTCATATCTTTGTTTCTGTATGTCTGTCACTCTCAAAACCCTAGAAACCTGTCTTTACCTCTCGCTGTATGTGTTTGTATACACGTTTATGTGATAGAAGAAAGCTCGTGAGTGTCAACCGCAGGAATTGTTGCTGCAAGATGAGAGAACCCTCCGGGCTCTAATGGCCTGTTTGGATGACCCGTCAGCGAGTATTAGTAACGAAAGTATTAATAAGAGTTAGTAATGTGTTAGTGAGTGTAAGGGCATAGAAGGAGGGAACCGTAAGTGTCATATATAATTTTACCTTGTTTGGTAGAGTCAAATGGATGAAGCCTTAATAATGGAAGTGTTAATAATTTTACCTTTAGCCAGAAGAAATGAGTAAAGAGAAAGAAATGAAAAGGGCAGATCATCAGACCTGCGGCAAAGAGATTCAGTCTGATGTCGAAGCATTTTATGTTTTTAGAGTAAATGAGAAGAATAATAATTGTCCAACACCTCAAAACACTCTAAATCGGGGTGTTAACAAAGTAGACAATTGAGGTGTTGGGAAGGTTATTATTAACACTTCTCAACCTTACTAACACTTCTTAACACCTCTTAAATTTTCTCTCAAGCAAGTGTTAGTATCAACACTTACTAACACTTCCATTACTAACAGTCCATAACACTCAATCCAAACAGGCCCTAAGACAACTTGAAGTGGGGATGGGAGAGTCCAAAGTGTTTTATATGAACATTTGACTAGGGGTGGGCACGGGTCGGGTCGGGTCGGGTAATCTTAAAAAAAATTAGGAACTGTTCGGTTCCATTGACCGGGTAGGTTCGGGGTGGGTACATGAATTCTAATAATAGGAACCGAACCTTACCCGTCCCATTTGAAATTGGTCAGTTCGGTCCGGGTTTCGGGTAATAGTCATTTTTTGTTGCAATTAGATTAAACATTATGTTGAATCACATGCAAAAACCAAATTAAAGATTAAAAAATGATAACATATTACTATTCGCTAGTTCCAGAGGACCCGTTGGATGGTTAGTTCAGAGTTTAATCTATGACTCCATGTATCAATGTCTTCTTTTGTTGCACCTAGTTAAAATGTTACATATGTATAAGCACCCCTGGTTATCTCAACCAGTTTCATAACCGGAGGAGGATTTATAAAATGCATGCCAATCACCAAACAGAAAGTAAAGCAATAACAAATAAAACAGCAACTTAAAGTTCCAACTTTCAACTTCCAAGTTTGCACAATTTCCCGTTTAAAGTAAAGCATAAACATAGTTTGAACTTCGAAGTTCCAAAAAGAAATCACCAATGGTCTTCAAACAATATAATAAAAAAGAAACGCAGTTCCAAGTTTAAAAAATAAATTGTTAGTGATCTTCAACAAATAAAAAAGAAATCCGGTTCCAAGTTTGCTGCTAGTACTCTCAGCAAATATTCCTCATTGAATCTGCAAACAAAAAGAAACAACCGATAAGAAAATAAAGTATAATAATTTGAATATTATTAGTCCAGATTTGGAGTGTGCCAGGCCAGGTAAAGCCCCTACAAGCTCTGCAGATGCCCAGATTTTCAAACATGCTAGGTGCCACACTGACACACGAGCAACATACAGAATTACAAACATCTAGCAATGTTTGCAGCAGTGTATAGTTTGGATATGATATTTTCTCGAGAATAAGCAACAAATCTTTATTAAAGAAAACCGATAATGGATTTCACATCAATACTTCAAAACTGACGCTACTTCTCAAGTTTTTTTGTTCCTCTCATGTCAAAAGTTATTAACAAGATGAAACCAATTAATAAACATATACCTAGAAGGAGCTTGATAAAATTAAAAATTAAAAACTCAGCTAACCAATAATATGTTAACCTATAACTCTATAAGTATTGCATGATTTTGTCCACTGAATTCATTACCAAACGGTAATCTGCCAAAGTGCCAATACAATAGGACTTTTCACATTACTGGACATGTATTTCAATTAAGAATTAACTACTAATATACTAATTATCAATAAGAAACTACAATGAATGAAAAGTAACTACCAGTGAGGTAAAGAAAATAATGAACTTCATGTGTACTAATTATCAGTCGACTTAAACTATGAAAATCGAGGACTTACCATGATCCCCTTTCCTTTATCATTTTTTGACTGAGGTCTGTTATCTTCATCTGAGATAGAGCTTGTAATTGCACTTTGTGATGCTCTTCTCTGTTTATATTCTGTAAAAAAAAATTGTATAACAATGAAATATAAATCAATTAAAATAAGATAAAAGGACATAAAACTTTACACACAAAAAATATTACCTTCTTCACACTCTCGATAAAACTCAAGTTCCGTTGGACTCGCTTCATACTCAATATTTGTAATTGGCTCACTCCATAACCAATTTTGGAGACATATTAGTGACTCCACTGTTTGAGGAAGAAGGGATGATCTAAATGGGTCAATGACTCTCTTCCCTGTGCTAAAAGCACTCTCACTTGCGACTGTTGATGCTTGAATTGGAAACACAACTTTTGCTATCAAAGCAAGTGTAGGATATGCATTTCTCCCTTTCAATTTCCACCATTTTAAAACATCAAAGGTAGAGCCATACGGTGCTTTCTCTAGTGTGTCAAGAAGATATCTATCCACCTCATGTGCAAATGCAATATCATCGGTGTCTGCTAGCTCCTTCTCCCAATCATCTATCAATTGATTAAATATCATTGAATCTTCAGTTGCCGCTTGAAGATGATTGCTTCCCGGAGTTCCCGCTAGAACCTACATCTTCTCTACTCTTGTATTGGGGTTGTGAGCCAAAAGCATGATGACCATATTCATCACACAGTTCCTTCAACAACGTCTTCACTTCATCACTTTTCATTACAAACTCATCCTTTGCCAACTTCAATTGCTTTCTACACAAGTGCATGTAGTGCCTCAATTTGAACCTTGGATCTAAAACGAGAGCTGCTACAAATGCTTGATTAAGAGAAGCAATAGAACCAAAATATTTTCGATATTTGTCGCTCATGTTCATCGCCATATTTTCGATATTTGCCTCTCAATCTCATTCTTCACAGTAATGACATCATGAACAACGGTATTAGAGGTGGTATATTTACTTGCACTAACTTTTAAAGTGACCAGATAGAAAGCCTTCAAGAACTTCACAAACACTTCCGCACCATCTCAATCAGCACTATTTGGTGGTCCAATCCTCCCTTTGCCTAGCACTTCTTCTCCTTCATCATTGAACATCTTTTCACCAAAATAAGAGGAGTATATACCTGATTCATCATCTTTAGACATCCTCTCAAATCCCTTCTTAAACTTCAAGCAAGACTCAAGCATCATGTATGTACTAATGGTACTATTCCACCTAGTAGGTACATCCATCACAACTAGACCCCTATTATCTAACTTCTCATTCTCTAAGCATTTTTTGAAATATGTAAACCTTCGAGGACTTGATCGCACAAACCGCACAACATTTCTTAGAGATTCCACACTTATTTCTAAGCATTTCAATCCGTCTCTCACCACCAAGTTGATAATATGAGCCAAACACCTCACATGCATAAACTTGACATTCATTACCATTTTACTATTCGGCCATTTCTGCATTTTTCGAACAACATAATCAATTGCCACTTTATTTGCAGCTGCATTGTCAACTGAGATGCACATCACATTCTCAATTTCCCACTAAATCAAGCACTCCTCAATTTGTTTCCCTATATCTTTACCTCCATGACTTGAAATCAAACAAAAGTTTAGAATCCTTTTGTGCATATTCCAATCATCATCCACAAAATGAGCCGTTAACACCATGTAGTTCAGATTTTGCACACTTGTCCATGTGTCAGTAGTTAAGCTCACTCTATGCTTACGTATTTCTGTTTTCAACTGAGCTTTCATGGTATCAAACATAGTAAATAAATGTCTCACTATAGTTCTTCTCGACGGAACAACCAATCTGGGTTGGACTTTACACATCATTCTCTTAAATCCTTCTCAACATAATTAAATGGCACCTCGTCGATAACAATATATTCAACAATGCCCTCTACCGCTTCTTCTTGGCTCCACCCCTTAGCAACAAGCGTATTTTTAACCTCGCCTGAAGGTCCAGAACTGTCAAGAACCTTTTGCAAGTCATCAGTTGGTTTATATGACTTGCAATATTTCAGCAAGTGTTTAATATAAGTACTAGTTCCGCCACATGTACTATCACAAGCAAAAAACATGTTACAATGATCACACATGGCTTTCAGTACTTCCACCCCCACCATCTCCATCTTCCCATCTTTTTCTACTTCCACCTCTTCAAGACGGTGACCTTTTTTATATGGTCCCAAACTCAAAATCTTTCTGAAGAAGATCTCTCTAGTGTAGATGTAATGGTTGGTTGTTTTGGATTTGACACCGGTTGTGCTTTTCTTTTTCGAGAAGGCGGGGGTTTTCGAGGAGCCATTGACAATTTTGATTGCATAAGCTTTGCTTGACCTTGTGGTGTAGGAGATGTGGCCGTAGATGATGTAGTTTTGCTACTAGGGGCACCTTTTCCCGCAGTTTCACTCATTCTGAAAATCGAAACGTGTTAGAAGACAAAAATTGAAAAACAAACTACTGCCCATCAGAGTTAGTGTCCGGGACTAAAATAGAAAAGAAGTCACTCCCTTCCGACTTCCTGGAAAGAATGTTATTGCTGCCCAAGCTACTGCCCATCATAAATTATAACAATATTAAGTTACTAACAATTTAACATGACTTGCATAATAGATACTTTCAGTTGACTAGTGAACACAAACTTCACTTATAAACAATAGAGTACTATCATTTATGGGTATTATTTGTAGTTTTGTACACAATTAAAGTGTTGGATACTTGGATCAAACATACTGCCCAAAGCCCCAAACCATGAAGAAATCAAACTGCCCACTCTACACAAACTTCAAAAGTTCAAAGTATCAAACTATAATTGCAGACTGTAATTGAAGAAAAAATCAGTATCAAAGTATAAAATTTTGAACTAAAATTTTAACTCCTTTTAATAAAACCAATCTTTGAACCAATTTGCAGTGGTTCAGTCTCAAAGTGTCAAACTACCATTTTTATTTTCATTGATTTTGAACCTTCCTCACCCAGGCTCTGGGTGCTAGTCTGCAACTCGCAGCCCACTT